ATTACATAATTCCTTAACTGTACACAAAGGTACAGAGAGATGTTTGCCATATATTACCAACTACATAGGCAGATGATATATATATATATATATATATATATATATATAGATAGATAGATAGATAGATAGATAGATAGATAGATAGATAGATAGATAGATAGATGGAATAAGAAAGAAAGAAAGGATGTCCGCAATGAATAGAGTAATTAATTCATGCTGTACTGAATAATTTAATCAAAGGCTAGGGTAGTATCAATAACATCGTCTTTCATTTATTCTAGTCAATTGTGAATATGACCATTGAACTTGTTCCTTATGATTTAATTAAAATAAATGATATCTAATTTGTGATAATTTTTTCGACTGAGGACAGAAAATGCAACATCGAAATCCAAATGCTCATTAGAATAACGAATGATGCCTTCTAAAAGCTAAGCAAAATTTTATAAAACAGTAAATTTTCGTTAGAAACAGAGAAAAGAGTACTGAACTTTTACGTAATATCAATCTTCATGTACGGCAGTAAATGCTGAACAATCTCATCACAGATGAAAAAGTGAATTGAAACAAAGAAAATGTGTTTCTATAGAAGGATGCTCAGTATACCATGTACTGAACATGTGAGCAATGCCGAAGTTTTAGAGAAAATGGGAACAAAATGAACATTTATACTTAACTTTAGGAAGAGGCTGTTGAAATTTCTAGAGCACATAATGAGGAAAGGAGGATTAGAAAATTTGGGACTAAAGGGTACACAGAAGGCAGAAGAGGAAAAAGGAAGGCAGCGTAGCTTATGTAAATGGGAGAACAAGGCTTAGAAATATTGTAAAAAGGAATTCAGTGAGGTCTTTTTAAATATCCCATACGGGTAAAAATATTAGAACTTAGAAATGCAACTTGAATCTTTAAGAATGTTTAGTGAAATTTTCAACATCTTTTTCTTTTTTTTGCACTAAGACATTTGTATGTATCTATGTGTTTTTTACATACGGATAGTACATACGTACACAAACAGTTTAATAGTGACATATATAAAACTGAGTTAATACACATTTTATAAAATAAGTATTCTTGTAGTCAATGTATTTAATAATATATATACATAGTTATGCTCAAACCTACTTGTGCTTTAGTGTGAAAATTGTTATTTTAAATGCTCATATTTTAATTATTTTTATGCTTTTACTTAAAAACCTATATATATATATATATATATATATATATATAATTTCTTAAATCGATAAACATATATAGAAATATATAGAGAAAAAAAGAGCATCAAAAGTATACACTTCAAACATTCATTGACTCAAACTGTACAAAATCTATACACCTGTAATTTTCAATAGTAGGTTTTAAATGTTTACTTGGAAAGTTACGCAAGTCCTTGCATTAATTTATTTAATGGAATTAACCGTGAGATTATTTTTTTTAAATATAATTTTACATTTTTGGTTTTTTCCTCCCGCCTGTAATAATTCAATTTTGAATTTTGCCAAGGGATGATCTTCGCTATCGATAGTTTAACGAATCAACCTTCATTAAAATTTATACTGAAAATTCTATTTAAAAACAAAAAAAGAATATGATTTTTTTCACCTATATATATATATATATATATATCCATTGAAAACAATCGCAAAGAATTCGAGCCAAGTGGAGAATGAATTGTACTACTGTTCAAGTAACAAACGTGGTTGATGACATTGATCTGAAATTTTTTTAAGGAATCTGCACTCATTATTTCAAAATGGATGGGTGAAAAAGTTGCAAACATAAACGTACAATAACACGGTTTCATCCATCGCCCCCTTTTAAAATAATTAAATTAATGTCATATACATAAAGCATATGCACTCATACACTCATTGCAGTGCATATGAATAAACAAGAAAACTTCATACAATTTACTTTATTTATATGCATATACATATACACACACACACATATATATATATATATATATATATATATATATATATATATATAGTTCCTTGTATATATACAGGGTGTCCCCAAAATTGTACTCATTCCTGAAATGACAATAAATACAGCGTTTATTTACTTGAAAACAAGATTAATGGGTAAAATTAAGAAATATTAATGTTTATCGACTTATAAAGAAGATTTAAATTAAATATTAAAATGAAATTAAATGCAAGTTTAAAATAATCATTTGACAAGAAGAGAGTATATTTTTAGAAACTGTATATTGGGCATTCATAATTCTTATATTATATATATATATATATATATATATATATATATATATATATATATATATATATATATATATGCATTTATATATGCATTTGTATATATGCATACATACAAAACATATATATGTATAAGTACATATACAATAATAGATATTTGAATGTACACATATATGCATATATATATATATATATATATATATATATATATATATATATATATATATATATATATATATATATATATATATATAACAAAAAAGAAACCCGGAATTTGCGCGGCCGAAACGTTGGGGAAAAATACACAGAAGCCAGAACACGAAGAAATTAGTAAGAAAAAAAATGACATAGAATGATATATACATACACTCCCATATATTTACATACAAAGATACATGTATTTATAGAGATTTGAATACATATTTACATGCTTGCAAAACACACACACAGCATTGATGACACACACACAGATATATACACACAGATACACACACATAGATGCAATATTTTGAACGATATTTAGTAAATTGGTTTCGCAGTATAGTGAATACAGTTCTCACTGATCCTAGAGGTTTTTACTAAGATGGACTCATGCCAAACTAATGAAGACTTAGTCAATACTTATTTACACAGACGCGCATGCGCGAGTGCACATCACACAGCAAAGCGATAGAGAACTCGTTTTACAAGCCACTGCTTGTACAATAGCACTCTGGTGGTCCTGTGTTCGACCAATCTAAGATACTAAATGCTTTCACGTTAGGAAAAATATCATATAGACCCACTTCCTGTATACATAATAAACTGTATATTGACTTCATAGCATGTATCTTCCGTTAGGCACCAAGAGAATGAAAAACGCTTCGCCCAGTAAAGGAGTAAAAACTCGACAGCAATCCAGACTATCGATGTTTTTCTTTCGTCTCCATAATTTCCCATTTCTTATCATTTGCTTACTTTTCATTTTTCTCTAGCTTTCTTACTTACCGCCATCACACTTTCTTTCACTTTTCCTCCTCTACCTTGTTTTTCTGTCATGACGTGTGGAAATGAAAATAGCCAGTATATATATATATATATATATATATATATATATATATATATATATATATATATATATATATATATATATATATATATATATATGTATATCAAATATGTGGTGCAGTTCAATTTATATTACAATGAATCATTCATACAAAAAAGTAGATTAGTAAAGTTTTATATATATATATATATATATATATATATATATATATATATAAAGAGAGAGATAAAGAGAGAGAGACAGACAAAGAAATGATTAATACAAATATAATATTTAACACTTAGTTGATTGATACTATATTCAGCACCCCGACTCTAGAGTGTCGTTTATGAAACTTTTTGTAATCGTTTGGTCCACTGATCAGGAGGTATCATCAGTTGACAGATATAACAATCCTAGAAAAAGATGCAAACCAAAGGCTAAATAATCCCTTTTTCATGTGTAGTATGCTGTAATATATATTATATTAGAATTTATACCTAAATAATGACGATGAAAAATGCATAATATAAAAAAAAATAATTAATACATAATATAGAATGCATTTCTTGCGTGGATGATATAACACAGGCAAATTATACCGAAATACATATAAAAGTAAAAAAGGAATGCATTAATATTTGGCCAATACAATAGTATCTCTTATTCATGTGATTCTCGCTAGATCAAATCTCATTCTGTTTATATTCCAGTCTTTACATATCTTCTGTGTCAATGAATTTCCAATTATTTCATATCTAATTGTCGGTTAGTGTCTCGATCGATTCTATCTTGTTATAAATATTTTGTTTATCATTTTAACGTTATTTTTAGTGGATACTCATATTTGAGTAGATGCTCCGCTTATTTTTTAAAAGCATATATTTTTGTCTTTCGGCATGAATATTCGAGAAATTATATTAAAGAAAAGATGCACCCACCGGCAGGATTCGAACCTGCGTCACCCTTTGCAGGAGGAAACATGGTTAGATCCGACGTGCTTTTAACCGATTCGGCCACGAAGGTTGAACAATTGTCTTTTAAGCACATCCTTCTTGATTAGATTCTCAAAAGTTAATAACTGCTCATAATGTGTGTGCGGTGTATGTGTGTGTCTATGTGTGTGTGTGTGTGTGCGCGCGCTTGTCTGTGTCATATAACCGTAAAATGATTAATTGTGTTTACGTACGTGCTTGCACGCGCATATACCTTTATGAATTTTTGCTTTCCGAGCAAATTTACCAATGCAACTTCGAGTATGCAAGGCTTTAATTAAAATACAATCTGGTTTGTTAATATTTTGTACCTGTATATAAGCAAAAATTGGGTTACCCAACAATCAAAATTGACAAAGTACAATAGTAAAAATAAATAATATACGAGAGATTAGTTATTGTTAAAGATGATTACTAGAGTAACAGTTTCATAGTCATGTTATGATGTAATGAATATTGATGCGGAATGAGAGACCGGGGAGCCGAGTTCGAATTCCAGTTGCGTACGCTATATTCACTTACGCACAAATACTCCCAACTATGGGTTGAATAGTAGACTGCGCAACCAGTCTACCGCAGAAAATAATGGCAACCTACGACGGGAAAATTTGCCTAGTCAGGCATCTTTCGAAAGATGCAAGAACGTCCAAACGTATATCATGTGTGGCACGTGCGACTGACTTGATAAAAGAATATAGGAATGCGATTCACGGTCTCCAGAACGGTAGCTCTTCACACATTGCTATGGACACTAGTAAAACGTATTACCGACCACCTATTCACACATTCAGTATTTGTTCTTCATAAATGTTCAGCAAGCGTTGACTAGTGTCAAAAAATGCATTTTTTCGCATGAAAGAATTTAATTAAGCATCTCTACTTCGAACTCACTTTCATGTCAGACATCATTTTGCCAAACTGAGATCTATTACTTGTAAAAATATACATGGGTCACTGGGAAGAAGGTTTACGCGTGATTGGCATCCAATTTACATCCATTTCTGGCGTTATGGGTGTATCAACATAATAAAATAACAGATTTTACACTGAAATTATATATATATATATATATATATATATATATATATATATATATATATATATATATATATATTAGCTCTATCTCTGGTATTGAGCGCTTTCTAATTAGTACCGCGCTGCGCATATAATATATAAATAATAATATATATAATATATTACACACACACATATATATATATATATATATATATATATATTTATATTTATATACACACACTTTTCACATATGTATATGTGTGTGTGTGTGAGTAAACGCGCACGTATATATGTATGTGTATGTATGTATACATATACACATAAGCAGACACACACACATACACAGACGCACACACATACACATATATATACATATGTGTTGAAAATATAGATTAAATTCACCAAATTGATTACTTATTCCTTTTTGATAAAACACACATACACACGCATACACACGCACATACACACATGCATATGTATGTATTTATGTGTGTGTATGTGCACGCATTCTTGTGTTTTATTGAACAATACCGACAAGGTACTTTTGTTTAGTTCTTTTTTTATTATTGTTTCCTTATATTTGTACAAATCTTTTCCTTTTGACAATTTTTGCATTTATTAAGTCCTGAAAAGAAGACACTTATATATATCTAAAAATAAATATAATAAAAAACTAAACAAATTACCTTGTTAGTTTTGTTCAATGAAACATAAAGGGACTGCTGATAAGATACACAACTACCTATCTATATGATACTGTTACAAAACTAATAAAATTCTTTATGCATAGATCGGTACTTCTGATGATCTGAGTATTTGTGCACTCTGCCTAGTACTGAAGTGTCGGTCTGCGACGCACTGCGTCGGATCATTGTAGTATCTGTGCACTCTCTGAAACGTATGGCACATAAGATTATCTATATGAATACATTGTACATTAATATACATATACATATATATATATATATATATATATATATATATATATATATATATATATATATATATATATATATATATATATACGCATATTTCTCTGTGTACGTGTGTGTGTGTGTTGATATTTGTATAAGTTATTTATCCACCTACAATCACGTCATTTTGACGGGTACGCAAATAAGTAACTTTACTCATATCGTCAAAAATGAAGACAATCTATAAGTAATTTCGCAATTATATTATCATCATAAACTATATATGTATTTGTATAAATATTTGCTTTTCATGTTTTCAATAAAATTGTTCGTGTGTGCATATAAATGCTATATTGTTCTTTATACAATTTTTTGCCTGTGATCTAAATTATGAGCTCCTGAAATTAGTATGATAAAATATTATATATCAGCATATTTCACGGTCTGTAAGATGTTTTCATTTCTTTCTTTCATTCGTTCTTTTGTTCGTTTATTCTTTCTTTCTATCGTAATGTATTCATATTTATTATTTTGCCTGAAGTACTTCGTCTTGAAATGATCTTACGTCAACCAGTCCGGCTGGAAGAAATATGTAGACGCTAAATAATTGAGTAGAGCGAAAGGACGCATAAACAGAAAAGAAAAGCAATAGAACAATTCGACATATAGAAAAGAGGATTTTTGAAAAATACAAATGACGACTGAAAAGTTCTCGGCACAGCCAAGTTCCACAAATATGACCAAATGACCATTTATTCACGAAAAAGAGTTTCTTGGTTTTGCTGACAATTTTTCAGAACATACTTGTATCTTTTATAATGAGTACAATGAAAATAATTCTAAGAAAGCAATACAAATGTAATATTGTAATATAACCTCACGTATATATTGCGGTGTGATACATTATCTATCTATCTATCTATCTATCTATCTATCTATCTATCTGCCAGTCCGACTGTTTGTTTCACATGCACACTGCATATGTATTTATTATACATACATACATATATATATATATATATATATATATATATATATATATATATATTTATTTTTTTATGCATCTATCTTATATTTTTAGTCCAAATATAAAAGAAATTACACAGACATTTAAATACACGTTAACATGCAGTTCAAAATGTGATATTTTTTGCATGTGCATTTGTCACACGACGGCTACTTTTTGTACCGTACAGGAGAAACACTACAATCTTTTCATTGAAAACCATTATGAATGAAGTTATACTACTACTACTTAGACTACTATTTACAAAAATAATAATAAACATAAACAGTTAAAATACTGAGGAGAGTAATGTAGTATTGAGGAGATATGGTGCCACGTGAAACACGATGGATACAAATAATGCATACAAGATACCGGTTAACCTACAATATTACTAAAATTATCTATAATAACCAAGAGCTTACTTTAGCTTTAAGGAGAACTCGTGTCACTTGATCTCCAATAAAAAAAACACTAGATAATAATTGTATGAAAAATTACTGAATTCGAAATCATAATGATTACTAAAGGAAATCGAAAGATAGTGGAAAACTGAAAAGATATCGCTACCTCTGCAGAGAACACAACAACTGCTTCACAAAAATGAAGAATATTATCTATAAAATTAATGAGAATGCTGTAGTGTTGAGGAGACTTAATGTCACTTAATCTCCAATAAAACCTACTTGATATTAGTTGTGTGAGAATTCACTGAATTCAAAATCATAATGATTGCTAAAGGAAATCGAAAGAGAGTGGAAAACTGAAGATATATTTCTTCCTAACCAGAGAACAAGAAAAAACTGGGAAATACGAATATGACGGTTGTATCGTTAAACATTTGAGTACTCAACATAATCTTTTACAAAATTATAAAAATTGTACATCTAAGAAGGAAAAGAAACCGTTTAGAACTAGTATTACTGAAATCATGAGCAAACCACTAGATAATATTGGTAAGAAAACTCAGTATATGATAATCACTCGTTACGTGTCATGTCGCATCATATCGTAAACTATCATAGATCTTCACAATTTCACTTGAATATTTGTGAACTGACATGACTGTTGTTGAGAAAAATAATCGGATGTTTCTCGTTGCATTCTCCACAGTTTTAAATTCAGACTCTAAAATTAAACTTCTAGGTTCTTTGCCCTCCTAAGGTTAGAGAGACCAGTCTACTTTACGATTTTACTTATAGCTGGGTATATAATAATAATAATAATAATAATAATAATAATAATAATAATAATAATAATTATCTTCAGTGCGCCTGATGTCCATCTTGCACAAACAATATCTGCAAAATACTACAATTTTATAAAATGTTCATATAGTATTCCTCGGTGGTTTAAGTGGTACTTAGGTCTCTTGTTAAGATTTAGTTACTTTGTAAAAACTGACAAATATAATATGTATAAAATACAGAAATTAATATAATGCCTGCGAGAGCTATAAACTTGTTGTCACATGATGCGCACCAAACACAGACATAGTAAAGAGTACTAAAATACTGAAGAGTGTGCTGAACTATTAAGATATCTCTCTCGATGTTCTTTTAATGAATTGTTAAAATTAATTACTACTACTATTACTGCTAATAATAATAATAATAAATGTGGCACATAAGGACATTAATAATTCCGGTTGTAGTTGGAGCCCTCAGGTAGATTAGAAAAGGTTGATTGGAAAAGGTTCCAATAGACTTGAAGGGATTCCTGATAGCCCATGCCTTAAAGAAATATATAAAAAATGTACTCACAAGTACAGCTCACATATTACGAAGAGCTTTATCTATGGAAAATGTATGCGATCTTAGTTTTTTATTTATTTATAAATTTTTTTTTACAAAATTGATCAGTGCCAGATGTCTTGAAGCAATTTCTAACCTTAGTTCTCCGGTTGAAAGGAAATGTGTATACAACAGAAATCCAAGGAAATAATAATAATAATAATAATAATAATAATAATAATAATAATAATAATAATCAGATGAAGAAGAAGAAGAACAGCATACATAATATTGTGGATTGTTATGAAATACAGATGAGATTTGCTATCACTTGACACTGAAACAGTGAAAAGTGTACGCATTAATAATAATAATAATAATAATAATAATAATAATACCCACAGAGCTCACCATCAAATTCGTGAAAATAATAATAATAATAATAATAGATAGATAGATAGATAGATAGAGAGAGAGAGTGTGTGTGTGTGAGAGAGAGAGAGAGATAATGGAGAGTGTAGTGATGCAGTAAGATTTGTTGTTACCTGACTTTCATTAAAACAAAGAGTAGTCAGTCACTTTTGTAAAAATACCATCGACAATAAAAATAATAACAATAATAATAATATTTTTCGAACGTATACGTAAAAAACGAGTATGCATAGCAAAAACAATAAGCACAAGAATATACCGACATCTTGACACATGCGCCTGAGTATTAAAAAAACTGTGAACATCAATGATATTGTTAATGTTGTTGCTGAGAAATGCAAACTTGCAGAGGATGAAGGAACTTGTGTCTTTTTTCACTATACATCACTATTGTATTATTGTTTCTCGTGAATAAGTTATCTTATATCTTCACTCAATTCAAATGACGAAGAGAGATTATCAAAAGGTAAGCAGTTAAAATGACCATATTAAATAAAGCAATTCATATATGCATGCCCGGGTCAAGTAGAGATAGATAGATAGATAGATAGATAGATAGATAGATAGATAGATAGATAGATAGATGTGAATATACAGATGGGTAGAAATAAAGTGGTGAAGATAGATTTGTGCAGAATAAGGGACATTTATTGATTGCAT